TGGGCAAAGATGACCTTGGTCGTTGAACTTTCGACGGCGGCGGCGGCGGCTCGCCGCGTCATCGGCAGCAGTTGAGCCACTTCAATGTTATCATTTGTCTTGCCCGTTGGGGAGAACGTGGCCTCTCGGAAAAAACGGCGTCAGCGTTCTCCCGTTTCCATTGAACGTGCTCGCGCTACGGCCGATGAATCTGAGACAAAATAGAGTCTCGAAGAATTTCCGATTCCGAGGGCTATGGAAGGCTCTGATTGACCGAGTGCTGTCCGACTGTCGTGGCTGTCACTAATGGAAAGCGAGCCGTGTTTGAACAGTCGCCCGACCGAAGTTTGCGTGAACGACTGCCGATTGGGTTTACCCTGAAGTTCGTCCCCTCAACCTTGAATCGGGCCCTGGTTCCGACGACGGCTGAGTCCAATCGATATCCGCCGATTTTGCAGCCGGCGAACATCAGAGCCCCCACCGAACACGACTCGCCCCGACTGCGTGCGTAGAGAGAATTTCGAATTCACATCGGGCACGTTCCGAGATATTTCGGCGTCCGATGGAACGAGGAGGGGCGGGGGTGTTCTATCCCGCAGTCCCTACTGTCCTCGATGTCGATCGATTGCGCATTTGATCAGCATCTCGATTGCATACCTCGTGAGCTTTATGAGTCGAGGACTTATCAATACGCGATTGAATTAAGCCCAGTCAGATCGGCCGTCGGCGGATCCCTCGCCGAGGGATTCGTGGAGGGCATCAATGAGAGGCTTGATTCGCCCGCCTCGATGATTTGCCTCTGATTGAAGTATAGAACGAAGAAGAGCCAAGACGAATGAGCCGATGAGACTGAGGAGGCGATCCGATCCTCGGGGATAGCATTCATTGATCATCGCGAGTTTTCCCGAGTCACTCCCAATCGTCGGGTTGGGATTTAGAGAGGGTCCAGGTAAACATCGACTCGCTCGGATATTCCGTGTGGCTTACCGACGTATCCGAATATCTAAAACCAGACGCTTGGCTCTCGTGTCTCGTCTTCCGTGATGGTATATACTTGTGGGTTCGGATCGATCTGTTAATCCGAAGTACCAAGTGAGCGCTCCCATGATCCGGAAGGTGGAGTGAGAACGTCAGGGCGACTCATCGACTGACGAGCTCCTCGGAGGGAATCGAAATTTATCCAGGCAACGAGACGTGGGCGTCAGCTAGAAGACGTACCGGCTTCGTTCCGTCAACCAGTATCGAGCCATACGACTGTGCTTTGCGAGGTGTTATAAATAATGTCGACGCTCGACAATGAACAAACACGGTAGACGGCCGAGTCGAGATTAAACAGAGCGAACATATCGTCATCGTTGTCGCGTCAGTCGACGAATCACAATGGGAGTCGTCGCGGCGGTCTGCGTCTCTGAACGCGCGCGTGCTGTGCATCCGCTTTTCCAGGACGTCATTCGACCCGTCGTCTATTGAATCGAACGGCGACGTCGTTTCTCCGATCGCCAGACGAGTAAGACGAGTCGCTATTGCCTTCGCATCTCTCGGTCAACATCGTCGCGGAGCTTCTCTGTGTCGAATTGTGCAAACGACTACTCGGCCGAGCGATGGTCCACCCGTCCTTTTCTCCGTTCGCTGGCTGTCTCGCCGGTCCGTCGCGGCCATAGCGTCGATGTTTTCTGAAACAGTATTCTAGTTAAAGCCGGCGCCGCCGCCGTCCCATCTAGAAGCGAGGAGGGAGGAGAGGAGTGACGGAAAAAAAAAGAGACACACAGGCAAACCCACAGGGACCCTCACGCTCGGAGCGAGGGAGAAAAGATACATCATTGATGTTTCATCACGTGAGGACAATATTTTCAGTCTGTAGAAGAAGGGTGCCGGGTCGGATCGGGATACGTAACGCAGGCTCTGCACAGGACTCTATACACACGCGCAGGGCTTTCAGTCAGTCAGTCGGCCTGCCGGCGAAGACGGTGGTAGAGCGCCGGGAGGGGGGTTGTTGCCGGGGAAAGGGAGGGGGAAAGCAGATAGAGAACGCAGAAGGATGTGAAAGAGCTCCCGCCGTCACTGGGACAAAGGACGCGGCAGCGAGAATATAGCAACGCGGGAAAAAGGTTGCCCTTCTCCGTTGGCTTCATACTAAAAGGGACGTCGTCGGAGGGACGACCGGAGGAGGTAGGGGACGTCGGAGGGACGAACACCGAAGGCAGTCAAAGGGACTGCGGGATGGGCTGTGGAAAGAGGAGAATGGCTGTTTTCGGGGAGCGGGGCGATTCCTTTCCCCGGACGGGGGTTATCTTCCGCGGCAGGTCTTGCCACGGACTTGCCTCGCTGACGGTCCTCCTCCCGCTCCTCGGACCCTTTCCAGGACGACAGCCAATGCGGAGCTTGCCCCTTCTGCAGTAGACGGCGGCGGCCAATGAGAGCCAGGACCCTGGTGAGGGTCGACGCTAAAACATGAAAAGATTCTGCGAACGGCCCGCTCGAGGGGCTGGTCCTGGCCGCCAGGCCGCCGCACGCTCGAGCCATCGGAATCGGGAAACATCGGAGGTGGCGGCGGCGGCGAGAGAGAGGAAACCGGCTTCAGGACGTCGGGAATGCAGGCCGACCGACGGGTGGGCCTGGGGATCGACAAGGGACGACGAGTGCCGCTGCTGCTGCTGCCGGCGGTGGTGGTAGTCGTGACGGCGGTGGTGGTGGTGCGGCGGCGGCGGCAGCAGCAGACCCTCCCTTGCGCTAAATTGCCGCCCGGTCGATACCAACGACTGCGCCAAGAGGGACGAACGCACAGGAGTTGGTTGGCTTGCTTCGTTGGTTTGTTCGTTCGTTCATTCGCTCGCCCGCTCGCTCGCTCACTCGGTCGCTCCTCCTGCTCGGATGGTTGGACGATCTATTTTCGAAGGAGAACGTTGCTGCCAGCCAGCTCACACAGAGACAGACTCACTCACATGGAGAAAGGGGACTAACGCCGCAGTACCAACGCAACTACCATCACAAGCAAGGGAAGGAAAAAGCCTTTTCCTCTCAACAGACTCAGCCGCGACTTCGCTCCTTCCGAAGGTTTTTCCTTCCGTCGACTGAGTGAGACAGCGACGATTCCTCCTACTGCAAATAAAACAGCTCCCGCCCCAACTAAACTCTAGACGCAGAAATACGCGACGGAGGCTCTCCGGTCGAAGCGGCTCCCATTCGGTCCATACTCATGAGTTGTTGCTGAATTTCTCGAGCATCATGAACACTCACGTCCAATGGGCCAATCGCGAAGACCAATCGCTCGAGACGTGGACAATCGAGCATTTTTTTCGCGGGTCATTCCTCGATGTGGGAGTCTGATTCGAGAATGCCCGTCCGGGATGCAGGATCCTCCGACGACGGTTAGATGGTCCCGCTCGGGCTGAATAAGAACCAGGACCGAAGCGATCGTCCTCTGCTGCCATCATCGTTGATAGAATTCGTCCACCACGAGGCAATATGATGATCAGAGAGGAAATAATATGGAGACAGGCCTGCGGCACTGACACCGGAAACCTGCGCTACATCAACAACGACTGTAGCCGCGGTTATGCTCCGACGAAAACATTATGGAACGCAGCAGCGACAAAATTGGTAGCGCCACCGAACAACGCGCTCGTGAGTCGAGAGCTATCGAGTTGGAGGGATCATACCACTAAGGTCCCTCCCGGAGATGATCGGCATCCAATTCGATCGCGAGCTCCTAGCTGCCGAGTATCGATGCCGGGACGCCTCATGGTATCGGCTCATGATCGAGACGCTCCCTTGAAAATTGAGCCTCCGGTCGCGGAGCCGGGCCGCTCCTCACGGGCCTGTCTTGTTCCTCTTGCTGTCTATCTGTGGATATTCATTGCTCCACGAGAGCAGTTGAGGACTTTTGTCGGGATAGTGTTCCGACTAGACGGATTCGGAAGTTTCCTTCGATTAGACTGAAATCTCCTTCGTCCAATCGTTCCTACGCGATGATAAATCTGTTGATCCGATCGTGGAGCGCTCAGCGTGCCCTTACCTTGGCACGCATAAGCATGAAACATCCTTGATAAAAGGACTCCAGACCGTGAGAGAGCTTGTCCGTCAATCGCGAATTCCGTCCACCGAAAAGATAGGTCCGTCGTCTAAAGACCACGAGATTGCGCAGGATTTGACATTATCTCGCGCGGAACAATGGTGAATGTTCTCTCGATTGTGTCATTCGTCCCGAACCTTGTTTGCTGGCCCATAGGTCGAGGCCCATTTGTCGCCCACATTTTCTCCGCTGCCTCGTCCCTTCCTCAAAACTCGAGCCATGTATGCGGAGGATGCCTCGTTCAGTGACCTCAGTATTCGACTCGACACCGAGGTATCGTTGCTGAGGCGCCCTCTGAGGATCTGGAATTAGGGGACTTCCGCCGACGGTTCTTGCGTCGAACTCACCATCCCGCCGGATGACCGATGGAATCATTAGTGTCCCGATGCAGGACAGCGCTCGCAGGAGTTTGGAGCCGCATCGAGCATTCTCCCGAAGTTTTTTTCCGTAAACATTCATTCATTGGTCTTCTAGGTAGACGAATTCGCAATTTCGCGATTCTGATTTTATGTACGTGAGCAACGGACTTTTCGATAATGGCTCCACTACATTTTCGAGCTCATATTCCTTACTTAGCTTGGGAACGAATCGCTCATCGTTGACGAGAACCGTTGACATCCGCACCAAGGCGGAGGGGGATCTACAACAGACACGGAGAATAAATATATGTATCCGAGGGTAACATCAAGGGGGGGGGGAATGGATCATCAACGGTCAAGTCTACTCGGAACAACGTCCCGAGCAGCAGTAATTCTCGTACGGAGGAGAGAGAACCGAGTGCAGCGTAACGTTGGGTGCTGCTTTCTATCGATCCACATGTACTAGGCATAATATATGGAAGCCCATCGATGGAAACCTCGAGCGGTGACGCGCTCGTGACGCAAAGCCTCATAGCAAACGTCGTCATGCCTTCGATGAGTCTCATCATGAATTTCCCTCTCCCTTGCAGGTATGGCAAAGTGCAAAACGTGAAGCTTCTCGAACTTCTCGACGAGAACGGCCATGGTACTTGTACGGTATCGTTTAATGACATCCGATCTGCAGCCAAAGCGCACAATGCAGAGAACAACTTGGAGGATTGGGTGCTCAAGACCGACTATTATGAACCGCCGGCTACTGGATCAACGTCAGCGATCGCCACCAGCGGCAGTAGCAGCAGCAGCAATGTCCAAAACGCGTGCGCAGATGGCGGAGGTGGTAGTGCAGGTGGTGGTGGTGGGGGGAACAACAGCAGCAACAGCAGCTCGACGCACAATCGAAGCACAAGCCAGAACACAGCAAACTGTGGATCTCAAAGCCCGTTTTCGGCTGCATCGGGAGGAACGCCGAAAAGCGATTCGGGTTGTCGGATACGGCAAACGCAGCTCTCGTCGACGACATCGTCAACATCTGCATCAGCTGGCTCAATGTTGCTGTCGACGCCGGTGGCGGCGACGGCTGCTACGACGACAACAACAGCGGCGGCAACTGTAACTAGTTTGTCTCCTAGTCGGACGGCTGGCTGCGGCGCGGCCGACTCGGCAGATGCTCGGACTTCGGCGTTAGTATCGATAAGCAGCAGTAGCAGTCTCCTAGAGGGAGATCTAACGCGAAGAGCCTCACAAGGATCAGGAGTATACAATGAGGACGACACGAACTCGTCGTTTCGTTCTAGAGGACACTCGAACTTGAAGCGAGGCGTCTGCGACGAAGACAATAAGAGAGGATCCCCCGCTTCCGTGACGACCCCCACTACGACCACCCTCCAGAACAACACCAACAACAACATCGGCCACGGCGGCATCGCGACCCGTAGAGGTCGGACAGAAAGACCTTCGCGTCGAAGCAGACACCATCATCACCATCACCAGCACCAACAGCTGTTGCAGTTGCAGCAACAACAACAACAGATACAACACTTGCAGCATCTGCAGCAACACCATTCTGGATCGGAATCCAGTTCGCCAAGTTCAACGGGTTCTGTCAGGGGACGCGATAGCTCGAGTGAACCGAGCCATCGGTCGATATCACCTTCCCAAAAATCCCAATCCCCGACGTGAGTACAAAATGACTTTAGTTCATTATCATTAATCCATATCCATTTTCTATCTATCGATCTATCCGGAGAGAGAACGAATGTTCGGTCACTGTCGTCAGTCTCGGAGATGCTTCTCGTATAGTTCTCTCGATGGTCGGTGCATGGAGAGCTCATCCGAAAAACCCATCCATTCGCCCTCGAACGAAGGTATCGAGTGTCTCTCCCGGAAACGGCCGAGATCAAAAGCGATGGCCGTACGCCTTGATAGTTTCGAATGGATTTCCCTCTATGGAGCGCAATGAAACTCGATTCCTATCTCAAAGAGTCTGTGGGCATGCCGAGTTTGACCTATCGTTCCGTAAATGAATCGGTATCGTATTCATTGATCATCAGCATCGATCGATCGATACCCTCTGCCAAGGCATAGACACGAGTGAAAAACACGCCGGAGGCTGAGTGAGTTATGCAATTACCTCCGCTATTTTTGCCCGAGCGACGAACGTCCGTGCCGTTGCCGGCGGGGCTTATGGAATCGGGTAATCTAATGGAAAGGTTTTCATTGGGTCCCCGGGTGTTGTGATGAGTGCACGCTCCCGTTCTCGGCGCTCCTTACGACTCGTGGCGCTTGGCAGAGGAATTATTATACCTGTTCATGTTTTAACGGCGAGGAGCTCGTGACGATATGCTCGGGAGTGCCTTCTGTCCATTGGCCGAACTACGAACGATCGAGTGTGGTGGTCATCCGGTGAGCTCGAGACAGAGAGGGAGAGAGACTACTCCCGGGCCTTTCTGCCTGTTATTATTACCTATCGGCAGAGGAACGAAGCGAAAATAATCGTCGCTCGAGAGCCGGAGCTCGTACTCGAACTAATGGGCCATTTTGAATTTCAGGACGTCGTATGGAAGTCATGCGTCGGGACTACGAGCGATCTCCGGAACGTCAGGCCATTCGGTCTCGTCCCTTAATCTCAACCACCTTAGCAGCGAAGCGATGCCCGAGTTATCGCAACGCGAGCGCGACCCGATTGTCACGAACGACAAGAGACCGCTCGGGATCTGCGTACGAAATCTACCTGTCCGTTCGACCGATACGAGTTTGAAGGATGGTTTGTTTCACGAGTACAAAAAGCATGGCAAAGTCACAGTAGTGAAAGTTATAGGCCAGGGCACAGATCGTTACGCGGTAGTATGCTTCAAGAAACCTGAAGACGTTGAGAAGGCCCTCGAAGTATCCAAAGACAAGCTTTTCTTCGGCTGCAAAATCGAGGTCAAGGCGCACGAAGGACTTGACGGCGAGGACAATGAATTTCGACCGCTGGAAGCCGAGCTCGACGAATACAACCCGAAAGCAACCCGCACGTTATTTATCGGAAATCTGGAAAAAGACATAACAACGTCCGAGTTGCGGAAACACTTCGAGAGCTTCGGCGAGATCATCGAGATCGATATCAAGAAGCAGGCGTCGTTAAGTTCATACGCTTTCATTCAGTACTCGGACATTGCGTCAGTCGTCAAGGCAATGAGGAAACTCGACGGAGAGAACCTCGGCGCCAATCGAATCAAATTGGGATTCGGCAAGTCGATGCCCACCATGTGTGTCTGGCTGGACGGCATCGCCGACACGGTCAACGAAAAGTTTCTGACCCGCCAGTTCTCCCGCTACGGAACTGTGACCTACACTGTGATAGACCGGGAAAGGGGGCACGCCCTCGTGTACTTTGACTCGTTGGATTGCGCTCAGCACGCTGTGTCTGAAATGCGAGGTCGAGCGTTGAACGGAAAGCGACTCCAAGTGGATTTTGCCTCAAGGGAATGTCAGTCAACGTTTTTCGAGCGAATCGAAAACTCCGGCCAGATCGCACAAGGAGACCGGCCGTGGATAAGTCGCGGAGGTCGGGCGGCGGCCGTCTTGCCCCCGGATTACGATCGCGAGCGTAGCAATTTACGCACCGAGCAGTTCGAGCAGTCTCGATACATACGTTATGACAGTGGTCCCAGCAGGTCAAGAACCAGCAGCAGCACCAGTTTCCGTTCATCTACGGCTCGGAGTAGCAGTTCGACGACAGTCGGTGCGACGTCGAACCGGAACGCGCGTTCGAGCTTCAGCTCGAGCACGCCGCGCTACAACAACGACGCCTACCACGACGAGATCGTTGTCGAGCCCCGTCGTCTGAACAGCAACTCGACGAACAACCACCGATTCTCGGAGAAAGACGACTCCATGGACGAACTTTCGGTGTACGATGACGAGTGGAGGAAGAAGGTCCTCCGGAACTCGATGAGCGATCACGAGGACAGTCATCATAGCGGAGCCTCGCCAACTCTGCGACACCTCAGTCGGAGTCCGCCGCCGTTGATCGCCGTCAACTCGACCAAACGAAACAAGCGACACCGGAGAACGAGCGGAGGCTCCTCCCGGATGAGCAGTCCCGTGGAGAGCGACCTCAGGGACACTATCTGTATATCGTCGGCGCTCACTTCCGCGTCGTCCGTTGCGGCGACGGGCATCGCGTCGGCAGCGACAGCGGCCGCGAGTTTATCCTCTTCATCGTCTTCATCGTTGTCGATCTTAGCCAACGCGTCTGGACAGCAACAGTCGTCAAACGACTGCCATGCCAGCAACAAACTAATATCCGAAAGTCAACGACGTCGCAGCGATCCTGCGTACACGTGCACCTCAAACGTACAAGGTGGTGGGGATGGCGGTGGCGGCGGCACAGCATCTCCGAGCCAACAGGAGCGAAAGCGCCGCTTGATGGTTGTCGAAGAATCGGCGAACGCCGTGGACGTCGACCAGCACCGAAGTCGAGTGGCCGTAAAATACGTCAACATCAAACACGATTCGATACTGAGCTCGAGCGATAGCGACTCGGGCAGCACGACCGCCACCGATTTCCGAAGTTTCTCGACCTCGTCCCAAAGCCACAACAGTCACGGCCACCGGAGCAAGCGTCTGCATCACCATTCTCACCATTCGCACCATTCTCATTCGCACCACCTCGCAAGTAGCGGCGGTGGCGTTGGTGGAAACCAGACGTCGAGCTCATCGTTGAGCGGATGTCCGATCGGAGCAATGATGACGTCTTCCGGAGGCCGCTCCTCGTCCAGCGGGGGATCGAAGCGACCTCATCAAATTACCAAAGAAATCCCATGCTTTGCGATCTGTAGCGGCGGCAGCGGCGGCAAACGAACGCAACATTCGTCGACGACAACAACGACGTCATCGCTCAAAGAAGGTCTCGAAAACGGAGTCCGATCCGTTTCAGGAGGATCGGGCGGTAATCACGTGACGTCGTCGACGGCGACGTCCTCCGACTCGGTGCGCCGAGATCCCCGCCAGGCGAAGCTTTGGGATAGCTATACCCGAGGAACAACCGGAACCAGCGGCGGTAGCAGCAGCGGCAGCAGTAGCGGCAGCAGCAATAATCCTGGCAGTAAATCCCAGCAGCAGCAGCAGCAGAAACGAAGCGAAGATGAGGACTACGAAGTAGCCAAACGTCCTGTGATGGTTTTGCCGCTGCCAAAGTTTGCGTTCTCTTTCTCACGATCTCCTTCACCGATGTCGACGTCGAGTTCGACGGCCATCAATCATTTCCATCATTCATCTCATGACAAACAGAATCCCCTCTCATCGACGGGAAGCGCTCCTTCCCACGCTCCTCTCCAGCACCATCCCAGCACACATCCACAGCAGGAAAACTCCTCATCCCAAAACGCCTTGACGACGAAATCCACGAGTAGCGGCAGCAGCGGCAACCTTGTGGGCTCGAGCACCTCGGCCAGCGGCAGTTCTGGAGCAGGTGGCGGCAGCGGCGCAACGTCATTCAGCGCAACGACGCCAGCCACGCCGCAGGGTCTTCTCAGCGTCGGGGGCGGCATCCAGGCGGATCATGCGGCGGCCGGGTCGTGCGCGGCAGCAGCTGCCGCCTCAACACCTGTAGCGGCGGCAGCTGCCGCTGCTGCTACGTCGGCGATCGCTGCGGACGCGGAATGTGCGTCGCCCACGGTGGCTAGCAGCTGCAACGCGGTCGGTGGCGGCAACGCCAGCAGCAGCTGCACGAGCGGCAGCGAAGCCAACAGCGTGACCGGCGGCACCAGTAGCGGCGGCGGCGGCGGCGGTGGCGGCGGCGGTGGCGGCAGCGGCGGCGGCAATAGGCCCTCAATCGAGGAACGCATCAGGGCCCTCGACGACAAGTGGCCCGCTTCGACGTCTTCTTGTTCAGCTCCTTCTGGTGGAGGTTCGGTGTCGACCCCCGGTTTGGGAGGTGCTGCTCTGCAGCGATCGTTATCCGGAGCGGACGTCAACCCGTCAACACCTCCTATTGTTATAGACTACCAGAAGTACAATATTAAGAAGCGATCGCGTACTCCCGCGCTAGCGCCGACGGCGTCCGACCTGATCCACAAGACCGAACCGTCGGAAATCACGAAGTCGTTGTTGGCCAAGCAGTCGATCCTCGACCAGGATTCCAAGCGACTGGAACACATCAACGAGAAGTACGAGCCGAACACCATCGAGTCGGGCTCGGAGGCTAACTTGCTGTCTCCGGCGGGGGCGGCAGTAGCGGCCGCCGCCGGTCTCATAAAGAGGGAAGCGTCCGAACTCCCTCCCAGCTTGGGGGGCGGCAACTCTGCAACTGCGAGCCTCACGACGACGGCGGCCGCCGTCGCTCTATCTCCCGTGACGCCGATCACACCGCAGCTCTCGGGCTTCAAGGTGGAGCCGCCGACGGGAGCGACAGTCAACTCCATAGGCTCTGGTTTCACCTCGTCGACTTCGCAGTTGATGCAGTCGCAACAGAAGCCGGCTCTACCGTTTCGCACGAAAGCGGCTGCCAAAGAATTCTCGATGCCGAATTTGCCCATTATGGGAGCACAGCAAGGCCAGCCTCGATTTCCGTTCGGTTCGAGTTCAGCCAATCAGGTCGTCAATCCGCCGGTCAGCTCGCCGGGAGCTCCAGTGGCTCTGAAATTGGACTCAATCAAAAAAGAACGATCTCTCTCGCCACCTGCAGCATCTGTGGCGGCTGTCGGAGAGGCAGCTGCGACGGCTGCAGCCACTGCCGCACAACAAACCGCCATGCCGACCATAACTCCGACGGGCGGGAACAACAACGGCAACAGCAGCAGCAGCAGCACGGCGACTCTGACCAACTCGAAGGGCACCACTAATCCGTGTCACAAGCCTACTCAGCAACAGCAGACCACAGGTGTTGCCGGAAGGCTTCAGCAACAGTCGATCAAGAAAGAACGCCGTGACACCGCGACGAGCGAGTCAGCCGTGACCTCGTCGTTGTCGTCGTCGAATCGTCGCCAAGAGGAAACTTCTTCGAAATCCGCAAGCTCAATCAAGAAGGAAAAAGACGATCCGAGAGTCTCGCAGAAGCAGAAAAATTCATCTGATCAGCAGCAACAATCTGCTCAGAGCAGTAAAGCCAGAAGTCCCAAAGCCTCTAGTCGCAAGGAGGTGTCCTCTGCGGTGACGACGGCCGCCGACGAGCCGACGACCGGTGCAGGAGAATCGGTCGGCACCGGCGTAGCTGGCGGCAGTAGTAGCAACAACAACAACAATGGCAGCACCGGCAGCAGCTCCGTTCAACAAGTCACCAAGCGTCGCGTATCATCGCTCGACAGCAATGAGTCGGAACAGTCGAGCAAATCCACAAGATCCGCTGGAGAGCGACTTGAACCGGAGAGCAAACGAGCGAAGTTCACTTCTTCATCGAGCAAATCTGGTTCAACCGAAGGCGAGCCACGAAGCAGTCGCAGAGAGGAATCGCGGTCGAAAGACAGAAGCAGCAAGTCGAGCAAGGACGCTAGGGATAAGGAGCACTCTAGTAAACATTCATCATCCTCTTCATCGTCATCTTCCTCATCATCAACAAACAACCACATCTCATCATCTCAACAACAACAACAACAACAGTTACTGTCTGAGGAAGCGCACAACAACAACAACAATAATAGCAGTAACAGCAGTAAGAAAGAAAATGTCAGTAAGAAAGATCACCACTCAAGCAGTTCCAACAACAACAACAATAACAACAGCAGTAGCAGTACGAATACGAGCAGTAAAGACAACAACAACTCAACCAGCAATAGCACGAGCAACAACAACAACAGCAGCGGTGGCAATACCAACGCGAGCACGAATTGCAGCAACACCAACAGCAGCAATTCAGCGAATACGAGCAGTAAGAACGAATCCTCTAGCAAGAACAAGGATTCGAGCAAGAACAAGGACGAAAGGAAAGTTTCGTCTTCGTCGTCCCAGAACGCCATCAGCAAAGATCGCAGTAGCGACAGTAAAAAGGAGAAAACCGATAAGTACAAGAAACGGGAAAGCACGACCAGCAGGAACAGCAAGAGTTCCGAAACGAAGGATTCCAAGGAGAAGAGCAGCAGCGGTAACAGCAGTAGGTCGAGTCGAGCGGACAACAAGAGCCGCGAGCGTGACTCTTCCGCTTCCAACCCGTCGAATAACAACAGCGGCGGCAACAACGACAACGCCAACAGTGTCAGCATAAACAATAATAATAACAACAACAATAATAATAACAACAACAAGGAGGACAAGGCTCAACAGCGAGCCATCGCCAAGGAGGTGGCCGACGCGGCGGCAGCGGCCGGCATACCGATGGAAGAACTCGGTTTGGTCGATGGCGTGCCCATGTATCTGTCGATGTACGACAAAGTCAAACAGAGGTCGTGCAAGAACCAACATCAACAAGTGGTGCACGACGAATGCAAAGGCGACAAATTCAGCAAACTGAAGCAGTCGCGCGCGCGCAAGAAGACACTCGACTCCGAGGCGAGCGAGGAATTCCAACCGTCGGAGATGTCCGATTCGGAGCACGAGACCAAACCCGCCCGCAAGGGACGCAAGATCAGCGGTCCGACGGCCAAGAAGAGGAAGACCGTCATCGAGAGCTCGTCGGACGGTGAGGCCCTCTCGATGCCCAGGAGCTCGACGTCGACTCCGGCGGCATCGACGAAGCCTACATCGGGACTTCCGAGCAAGTCTCGTCTCCCGCAGCACACGAACGCGACATCGAAGAGTTCCTCTCGATCGAACGCCATCGTTTCGGCGTCCGACGAGAGCAGCGACGCTGAAATGAAGCCGCACGTGTCGAGCCAGTTCCAGGTGCCCAAGAAACCGGCCACCAGCAAGAAACTCGAATACTCCGAGTTCTACTCCACCGATTCGGACCATGCGGACGAAATCGACAAGCCGGTGGTGGCCAAGAAGCGCAAGAAGGTCACCTCGTCGTCTTCGAGCCGGAGCATTCCGAACAACCACGATTCGAGCAAGACCAAGTCCGGCCGGAGTCAACAACAATCCTCGAACCGGAAGAACAAGCAGTCTCAGCCGACGTCCCAGGCGCACGCCGACGTCGACACGTCGGACGACGATGAGCGTATCATCAAGAAATCGAAGGAGCTCTCGAAATCCAAGTCGAAAGACAAGGACGTCTCCGTTCTCCTCAACAACAACAACAACACCAACAAAGCCGACATCGATGTTGAGCGAGGCTCGAAGCAGCAGCAGCAGCAGGACTCGACGATCAAATCAAAGAGCAGCAAGGAGGGCAAAGAACCCGAGCCGATCGTCAAGGAGGATCGAGCGCCGACCCCGCGAACCAACAACAAGCGGAGGAGGTTGAAGAAGGTGAGTGCGACGTTTCCTCGCGACGAGAATTCCTCCAGTAGCGTTCGAAGCACGATACTAAGCACATTCACGAATCCACAGAGCAAACAGGCAAAAGACAGAAGGACGGTCAGCAAGCCGAAGGAGATCTCCTCGAAGAAGGACGAGCCGAGCGGAAAGATCGCCGCCGAAGAGAGCGTTGTTGCGCAAGCGAGCGAAAGCGTCGCCGCACCGGCGGCCGCCACGGGCCCTCAGGAAGGTATACAACCGGCGAAGAAAAGTTGGGCCCTTAAGGATCTCCTGGCAGAGTCCTTGAAGGCGTCCAAGGCGGCTCCGATCGTGGCGCGCCAACAACAACCGTCTCAGCAACAACAATCGTTCCAACAACAGTCCGCCAAGCAGCAGGAGGCGAAGGGCGAGTCGATCAAGTCGTCGGCTGCCGATCGGGACAGGAGCGCCGAGGATACGGACGCGGACAAATCGGACATCGAACAATCCGAGGACGATTACATCAATCCTCGCGCCCCCGCCCGGGTCGAGTACGAGAGCGAAATGTCCGACCACGAGCTGATGCTCCAGAACGAGTTCCAACTGGCGGCTAAGTCCCCGCCGCCGCCGCCCGCGGCCAAGGAAGCGTCGCCAATCCGCCAGCTGCACAACCGTCTCGGCGGTGAAGGTGGCGGCGTGTTCGGTGACAGCCACGACGCGGTCACCTGCAACTCGGCGTACGCGACCGACAAGCTCGACCGGCAGCGGAGCGAGTCGCCGCTCCTGTCGGCCTTGAGCGACGCGATGTTGAAGAACAACAACGACCTGAGCGAAACGCTCAAGCTGAGCGGCAGCGCTGCAGGTGGTGATCGTTCTGGCTCGAAGATGGAAGTGGTGTCCGCCCAGGACAAGGACAACAAAGCTCAGGACAAGGACGCCCGACGTAAGAAGGACCGCGAGAGCCGACACCACCACCATCATCATCACCATCACCATCACCGCAAGGACAAGAAACATCGCTCCCAACAGCAGCCGTCCCAGCTGCAGCAGCAGCAGCAGAGCAGCTCGGAGAAGTCCCTTCAGCACTCACAGACAGAAGTGGAACGGGACCCTCTGAAGGACTCGATTTTCAACACGAAGGACGTCCTGAAGGATTCCCGAGCTGCGGAGAAGGACAGCCGAGACTTGGCAAGGGATTCGATCAAACGGGATCGTGACGCTCGGCATCACCAGCCGCAGCAGCCGCAGCCCCAACAGCAGCCGCCGCAGAAACAGCACTCTCAACAGGAGCAGCAGCTGTCGCAGCTACGGACACCGCAAGTCCAGCAGCTGCTCTCGAACAGCGTGGCTTGCGGGAGCAGTAGCAGTAGTGCGAGCAGCAAGACGGTCAACGCGTTGGAGGACGACATCGATGACAACAATAGCAAAATGTCGGACGACAACCGCGTCGACGAGGACATTGTTGAGCAGGCGCGTCGTCTGGAAGAGCTGATGGCCGCCGCGTCCGAGGAGACGAGCAATACGTTCGAGTCGACGGATCTCAACAAGCGAGACGACAGCAAGCCGATCGAGGAGCGCCATTTCGAAGAGGAGGCCGCCAAGGAGACCCGGCGCCTGGAGGAGGAAATGTCCTCGACCCGCGACGCCTGGCAGGAGGACGGTGTCGCGTTCGACAAAGACAACAACAAGAACGATTCGCCGCCCCTGGCGCACGACAAGGACGGCGGCAGCGGCGGCGGCGGCGTTTACGAGCTGGACTCGGAGCGCAAGATGGAAGACGACCTCGCTGTTTCCGCTCTACTCCAGGAAATGGGTGATGAAGGCGACATCGACAAGGATCACCCACCCGTCGTCCACGTGGACGACGACTTCATTGTAGAGCAGCAACAGCCCGCTGAGGATTCCGTCGTGGCTACCAAGCATTCGCCTAGAGTTGTTGCCCACGTCCCGCTGTCCTACGAAATGAACGACGAAGAGAGTTCCGACTCGCTGCGAATCGTCACCGAACAGGACAGCGCGGCTCAGCCGGAGGCGAGTCCGCCGACAGTCGAGAGGTCCGATGAGAAACTCGCCCGAGTTTTCCATGATACCTTCACTAGGCAGACCAGCCAACAACAACAACACCAACAGCAGCAGCAACAACAAACGCATCCGTCCAAACAACAGAACAGCACCGCCGCCGAAATCCTGCGTCGACGTTCGGCGTCGCCGCGCACAGCCTCGGCGCCCCATACGGAAAGCAATTCCCACCATGATGTGCCTGCGAGTCGCGTCACCCCGTGCGCGGAGCCTTCGGCACGCGTTGCGTCCCGCGAGGCGGACGCCCACGGTCGCGCCGGAGCACATCACGGTCCGCATGGCTCTCAGCAGCACCATTCGGCCATTGCCACCGCCACGTCGACAGCAGGTGGCGTCAGAGGCGTGACGTCGACCGGTGCTGCTGGAAACAGCAACGTCACGCTCACCAACAAGCTCGGGCCCTGCAAGGACGGGTTCTCGGCGAGCCCCGCACCGACGATCGCGACGTCAGCCCTCGCGCTGTCGTCGAATCCCGCGAGCCACAGTCAGGCAGAAGATCTTTTCGATGCGTTGCAGGCCGAGTCGAAGACCACGAGCGCCGCGCCAACTACTCCCGATCAGCATCTGTCCTCTCACAGGCAGCAGCAGCAGCAGCAGCAATCAACAGCTGTGGCGCCCACGTTCGCAGCCGCGACCGAAACGCCAAGTCCGTTGCAGAGCCACATGGGCCACCATCCTTCGCAGCAGCAGCATGCGCTTGAAACGGTCGGCTCTTCAGTGAAAACTCCTTCGCCCGACAAGTCAGACTCGGGAAGGCTGGAAATCGTCGAGAGTCCCGTCCACGGTGACGGAGAAGACGACGAGGACGAAGACGATGACGACGATGTCGACGACGACGACGAGGACGACAAGCCGTCGAATTCGACGTCGCCGGCCACAACACCGCAACACGAAGTCTCGAGCCTTGCCAAGGACGAACCTGCCGCGGCCGAGGAGCGATCGAAAGAAGACACGAACGACAGCTCGAGTAAAGACGACGATTTCCCCGAGTCGCACTCGACGCCCATTCTGGAAATCATCGAGAACCTCTCGTCACCCGTTTCTCAGCACAACAAAACGGATTCGACAGTGGCCGCCGCAGACGGCCTCCCGGACGAGGCTGCGTCGTCCGCCGCGCGCGAAGCGGCGGCCGGAGCGGCCGGCAGTGCCGGCGAGCCCTCGGAGTGTGAGAACACCGAAGTCGACGAACACCCTGAGGATCAGGACGATCTCGACCACGAGCTGAGATCCGGAGGTCACAAGAAGCCCTCAGGTCCTCAGCAACGAGGCGGCCGAAAGGGAAAACGCGGCGGTCGGGGTGGACGAGGCCGCAGCGGCGGACGTCAGACTCAAAGCCAGACCCACGAGGTGGCGGCTTCGACCCTACAGCAGCAGCAGCAGCAGCTCTCGATTGAACCCAAACGTAGAGGGGGTCGAGCCACTTCCGTGGAGAAGCTCCGCCGCGGCCTACGGTCGGACGACGGTGCCGCGAGCAATCAGTCGGAGTCGGCAAGCGACATCAAATCAGCCGCCGAACAGACTCCCGAGACGGCAGCTGTTGGCCCGCCCCAGCTGCAGTCTCAGAAGCAACAGGAACATCCATCCGCGCAGCATCCTCTCCATCATCACACTCCTCATCATCACCATCATCAGCAGCAAGCCCAACCGCAGACAGCCGACTCGATCGACGCCAAGCATACGGCACACGAGTCCGAAACCGACCCAGAGCAGCGACCTGTACCTAAAGCACGCCCCGTACGTGCGGCCCGCGGCAAGAAGAAGCAGCAAGCTCAGCAGTCTGCTGGAAGCCAACAAGCGGCGGCGACGGCGACAGTCCAGGGCGACGAGCTCCACAGTGGCGACGACCAGCCGTCGGCAGCGTCGCTACGGACGTCGGCCGACAAGCCATGCTTCAACCGAGACGCGAACGCACGCTCCGCACGACCGGCGACGACCTCGTTCGACGTTTACGAATTTAAAGATTCCGACGACGAAGATCCGTTCTCGTCGGCGGTACCGCCCAGCTCGGGCTCTAATCCGCACGAATCTGTCGAGAGGTCCGGCGACGCCGACAAGCCGCCCGCCGAAACCGAGAACGTCACGCCTGCGGATGCCTCGGACTCGAAGGATGCGGTCGCCGTGGGCGAGAGACGCTCGAGCGACGACAAGGAATACGTGGCCGAGCCGTCTCAACACGGCAAGATCTCTCTGACGATCCGCTTGCACAAGGACGGTCTCGATCGCGCCGAGGTCATCAAAACTTCAGAGCAGATCGATGAGGCCGGGAAAACATCGACGGTCCCGACGGCGGCGACGACGACGACGTCAACGTCGAGCACGTCGACGTCCTCTTCCACCGCTGCGCCGAAGACGACCACCAGTGCTCAAGCGACCGCCCTTCAGGACGACTCCAGCAGCCAGACCGGCGGCAGCGGAAAGACTCGCAAATCTGCCCGACTCGCAGGAAAGAACACGGCCGACGATGTTGTCGATGAGGGTTCCACGACCAGCTCTGTGGACGATTCGCTGCCAACAACGAGATCCGGAAGACCGAGACGGGGTGTCACGCTGGCACGCAAAGATCTCGATGAATCTGTCAGTCATGCTCAGGAGACGAACGGCAAGGAGAAGGAGTTGAAGAAAGAGGAACCGCAAGCCGACCAGCAAGCATCGACAGAGCCTCCACCGCAAACTCCGAAAGCTGGAAGACGAGGTGAGTCTGCGCCCTTGTGTTGTCTCGACATTTTCTTCGAATTCCAAAAGAAAAAAATATTCTTCACGCGCAACCCGACGCAGCGATGGGTTTAGCGTTAATCGATTTTTTTTTCTCCGTCCGCTCAGGTGCCAGACGCAAGCAGGAAGAACCGACCAAGATCGATCAGGTTGCATCCAACTTCGACATCAAGGCCGAAGACGAGAATCCCGCACCGATTCGAGAAAGAACTCATTCTGCGGGCTCGTCCACCATCACGGAAGAACTCAATCCTCCGGTCAGCTCGGTCGAGCTCAAGCAGGAACTGGAACTGAGCGGTCAGGTGAAAACGTCAGCTATCGAGACGGCCGCTCACAAAGAGCAGTCGTCCGATGTCGCAACGAGCACGACGACCGCTCCTGCGACGACATCTGCTCCATTTGCAGCGAGCACCGCGACGACCACGTCCGCGGCGGTTCCCTCGCCGACGAGGCCGCCGGTCCTTGCGCATACGGGTGCATCGTCACCGACATCGGCCTCTCGGGCATCGCCCGAAAGGTCGACATCGTCGACGAGTCCGACGACGACAGCGGCAGCCCTCCCGCCGGAAGCCGCGGTGCCATCTGGTACCTCCGCCACGGAGGAGGCCACCGCTCTGGACGCCCGACAGCAGAACGTGCCCCGTGTGCCCGCGAGCAGTCCACCTCGCCAGCAGAAGCAGTCGGCCGCTCAACCGACGACGGCTCCATCCGTTCCATCGAGTTCCCAAGCCTCGGAGCTCCTGGCCCTGCAGAAAAATCACGCGATTCCAAGCAATCCGAAGAACCTTCAGGCAACGCCCTGGGGTTCTACCGGCAGCTCTTCGGCAAGCTCGAAAATCCCCTCCTCGCCTCATTACCCGATCTATCCTGGAGGACTCCCCGCGAACTTGGCTAATTTGTCGGCTCAACAACAAGCCGCCTCGAGAATTCCTGTGTCGTCTGCAGCGATCGGACATGCGCCTGACACGAAGACGGCCATGGGTCAGAGTCAGAATCATTCCCACGCGCAAGGATCTCCGCGCTTGGAAGTAGGTTCACGAATTTATTATTCTCGCAGGTCACACCCCCCGCTTAAGGGAGTTTTCCTCCCCGGGTCCCATTATTCGACTCTCACGGTCTCCCCAAATATTTATCGAAGAATCCCTCTTATGGTTGATTCCTTGCCTTCTCCTCCCAGATTCCCCCGGAGATCCAGAAGCAGATGGTTGGGCACTTGTCACCGTACGGAATGCCGGTCAGCAACACGTCGAGGACCCCACCCGCCTGCCAGACCTCCGCGAACGCGCTCACTCCGAGAGAAGTGTCGCAGACGGCTCGTGCGCAAATGCCTTCGACGGGTCCTACGAAACCCAAGTCGACGGCCGCGAAAACTGCCATACCCTCAGGTTTCGCTTTCGATCAGGTAATTATTCAAACTACCACATGTAAATTTCCCAGTCTGTCCCAGAGTTGGGAATAACCGAAGGGTACTGTCGTAAATGAACTATCCTCTATCTCGAACTACAACGCTCCTCTCATTTTCCCCAGCCGGGACCTTCGGCAGTTGGCTTGCCATCGAATGCCGGTATCGCGGAACTTCTGCAAAACCCTCATCTACTGCAGAACCCACACCTTCTCCCCAAGGAGTATTTGAACGCCATCACGGCTCAACTCACGGCTCAAGCTCGTGCTCAGAACGTCTCAGGACAGCCAACACCGCCTTTGGCCGGAGTTCCTTCACAGGAAATGCTCAATCCGAATCGAAGCGGACAGAACCTCCTGGTACCGAATCATCTCGGATTGCCGCCAGAGATGCTCGTTCACCATCAGCAGATGTTGTACGCCGCCCAATTCGGTCGGTTCGCTTTCGGACCTCCGCAATCCACTCTCGGTGGTTTCAGATCCTCGATGGATCCGAAAGCGGAATCGAAGGACGAAGATCACGAGGCACCTTCCGGTCCGACGAAGCCGAAGAGCAAAGCTGCCCAAGCTCATCAACTACAAGAGCAACAACAACAACAGCAGCAGCAGCAGCAGCAGCAACAACAACAACATCAATCAGGAAAGCCTCACGATATGCTCAGTCGTCTTTCTCATCCTGGCAGCGGATACCACACGGCCGCAATTCGACAGCTCGGACAACCGTTGTCGATGCAGGGGGCAGACAGTTCTCCGGGAGCTCTCGGGAACCCGTACGCCAGAGCTGCTCACGTGAAAACGCCCACGGAGTCCGATCTGAAACAACCGCCAGCTGCGCATCAGAACCATCAGTATCCGATGTCTGTCGGTTCTCCGGGACCGGCCTATATCTCGCATCCCGCAAGCGCGGCCGGAGCTCTGGCGTTGAAGAAGGATCTCGCATCCCAGGCCCAACAGGCAGCTACTGCCGCTGCCAACCAACAACAGCTGCAACAGCAACAACATCAGCAAGCGCAGCAGCTCCAACAACAACAGCTGCAACAACAACAGCAACAACAGCAGCAGCAACAGCTCCAACAGCAACAGCTGCAACAGCAGCAACTCCAACAACAACAGCTGCTGCAGCAGCAGCAACAACAACAACAGCTGCAGCAGGAAGCTCAGATGAAGCGCACGGGACGGTATCAGGGACGTCCGCTGGACTCGGTCCTGCACGGTCCGCCTCCGGTGCACTTGTTGGCTCAACAGCAAGTCGTTCGCGCCAGGAGTCCACCGAACCAACATCAGGCCAACCAAGACGCCGGTTGGCTCTCCCGATACCCCCTCATCTGGCATGGATGTCTGGCTCTGAAGAGCGACCAGGCCGCTGTGCAAATGCATTTCATCTCAGGGAATTCCCGCATCGCCGCGGCAACGCTGCCCGCAATCACAGCCGAGGGAGGACCACAACCCGTCCGCATCACTCAACGAATGCGACTCGAGCCCCAACAACTCGAGGGTGTTTCGAAGAAGATGCAAAAACCCGAAGAACATTGTATACTGCTCGCTCTGCCCTGTGGCAGGGACCAGACGGCCGTCCTGGAACAATCCAGCTATCTCCGGAACGGTTTCATCAATTATCTGTCATCCAAACAAGCCGCAGGAATTGTGAACGCGGGACAGCAACCCGAAACGAGCCAGGTAATTAAAGGTTTCACTCAGAACGTCATCAGAACATTAGCTGAAGCGAAAGGCACCGAAACTAAAAAAACTATCTCGTTACTTTTCCAGCCCGTCCACGTGATTCACATATTCCCTTCGTGCTCGTTTTCGCACGAGAGTCTACTTCGCACCGCGCCGGATCTGCTGCACAGCGTCAGCGAACTGGCCCACCTAATGGTGGTCATCACGACGGTGTAAGACTCCCAATCGGCTTCGCCTACCCAGTGCTCGACTGGGCGAAACAGGGCTGCTCTAAATTGCTCAAGACTCACTGCTACAAGTACCGACATCGACTGCTCCAATACTGCAAGCTGCAAAGGCCTCGGAGGCCTAAGTCACAAAAGGGTGATTTGAATATCGAAGTTGTGATCTTTCTTACTCGAGTAACCAGGAATGTGTAGATACTATGTTGCGAACAAACTGAGACATGAACACACACACATAAACAGACTCACAAGCATATTCATGCGGATACTCGAAGCCGCATGCTCATATTCATTATTCATATATAAATAGCATCTCATACTTTCATCATACGCTACAGCGAGCCTTCCCATACAATAGCTTATGAGCGTTCATTCTAAATATAGAAATATCTTGTTCTGTCCCATTGATCTTGCGAACGAGGACGAATGCGAGTGATTTCATGTATCATCATTCACCCCATTATTCGATACGATGTCGTCCGCTTCAAACGACTCCATACGGATGAGGTGCTCCACAGTGAAAAAGCAGGGTTTTTCATCTACAATCACCTTGATGACGCAGACGAAGCGACTTCGGAGCATAAGCACAGACACCAAGCAAGACACACTCATCCAATCCTGGAAACAGACTCGGAGTGAAGCAGCGTCTGCGTCATCATTTCAACATCAAAACACTCGAAAATGTAAAAACCGGTGGAGTATGACGTGATATACGCGCCCACGATGAAAACGAATCTGAGTGAGGAACGCAAATCGAGAAATATGTCAGAGACCCAAGAGCTTCGTTCTACGGTTTTCGTAGCCCTCATCGGGATCGTGCTCTGGCGAAAGCGCGCTTCCTGACATTCACCATTGGAGGGTTACGGGGCCGCATCGAACAAAACTGCCGGGCATAATCGAAACCTTTGTCCACATCCCTCATTATGTGTAACATCCCTTATGTATATAGAAAACTATCTGAATAGGTCTCCAGAAGCAGGTAGAAATGAAACCACAATTGATCATTGCTAGGTATCGAGCTATAAGAAGAGGAATAAGAAGAACTTTCAATGAATGCAAGCAGACTCGTGAATTAGGCATGATCGCTGAACCGATCGAGCAGCCAAGATGCTGCTCGATCGATTCGCAACTCCACGATAATGGTGATGATTATGGTACAGCAGCAAGAAGCCGTGCACTATGTTTTGTTGTTAAAGTTCTATAAATCGATTCAGGCGTTCTTGCATTGACTCTCGGTCTCACGTTCATATAAGAAAAAACAAAAACAAACCACCTTAAAGGAGCTGACAGACGAAAGACAAACAACCGAACAGACGCAGAAACAAGGGCCTAGATGAAACAAGATATCCGCTGATGAGATGACGCTTCGAGGACGGCGCAGGTCAGGCTGAGGTATAATTGGCGAAAAAAGATCGATCAAACGCTGTTTCCTCCAAACGCGGCGTCGTACGCCCCTCTCTCTACTTTTCTCAAAACACAGCCAGTGAAACACTGTGTACACTAGCGTGCAATCAAACCCATCTTACCTTCTGTAATGATTTCATGAAGGTTTTCTGTTTCCGCTCTCTTGTTATTCATCTGTAAATTAGTCCTTTATCTCAGATGTCGTCGAGCGGGGAAAAATGGCTGATTACCGTTCGTCGTCGTCGTCGATCATCGATCACGATGCGAAGTCCGACTCCGGCGAAAAAGTACAACTATCCAAGAAATAGGGGAGCAGTACACCCTTCCAAAAGCACATTCGAGGGACTTGACACATAGAAGCCACTGTGAGACAGAGCTGCCGCAGAGGTCGAACGCTATTCATAAATTCATTCAAGGTCGAGCGTGACAGCATGAGCCGACCGAATCCACGGAGTGGGAAATCGTTCAAAAACACGAGGCCGTACTCATGATTCGAAGATCAACGAGGCATCGTTGATGAGACCTTCCAGTATTCAGAGCGGAAATCGGGCTCTCCGGGTGTGCCGCGGCATCAGTTGACATCCAGTGCTGGTAGACGATTCCCAGGGCTGGAACTCCGAAGCCTGACGAGCGACCCACCTGGTGATGCATCCCGACGAGACGGTGTTGGAAACGTCATTGTCGTACCTGATGCTGTCGGCGTCCACGAATTACGTATCGACGTGCAAAGGCCCGGTCGGCTAGTTGGCTAGCTAGCTCATACAGCAGAAAATCTGGAAGTTTGTCAATTCGAAGATCGCTGAAACATATGTCTGTATGTACGTGGGTTGCCCTCACAGAGTCCCTACGGAGCCTCGGGCTATCGCTCGGAAGGTTAGGTGATCTCGCTGTTTCTTCGCGCTTCTCTCAGAACTCTGCTGTACAAGGGGTCAAGCGCGTCCTGTCGCTTGGCGACTCTTCTTTGTCTCGAACGTAGCCCGTAAAAGTATCATCAGAGGGAAACCAATATCGGCTGCATAAACTCCTCCTCTCCCTTCCCCCTCATGCGGAGTCAAAACTGCGAATCCCAGTTCCGGAGAGGTCTCGGTGGGGACGTAGAAAGAGAATCGGATGCGCATTTCCCGGCTTTTACATCCATCAGCCGAGCGAACCATGATATCACTCTACCGACCCTGAACAGCCAATGAGAGTTTCCCCTCATTACACTTTCCGACTAACGAGCGGCGGTGTATCAACTTTCATTCTGACCTTGATTGCCCTGGACATACCACGATCACTGATTCCATTCTATCCGTTTCATCGAACTCTGCCGCTTCATCGATTGAATATAGTTCGACGACAAAATCACACTCCGGCTGTACAAAACACGACAACGGACGCAAGCGTAATCTTGTAGATAATTTTGGCCAGTTAATTTTCGATAAAGAGGGAAGAACCCCAGGCTCGGACAGACACTCGTTGTCGATCCGACCGGGGAGACCCTTCTGGAACGCACATCCACTATGATAAGTTGTAAATTGCGCTATTGCGAGAGTTGCGTTAGAGTCCCGATCTCGCCGAAATCGATTAGCGACCGTCCCTCGAATCCTGTCGCCTCGTGAGTCGTGAGTGGAGGTGGCAGCAAACTTCGACTCTTTTGGCGCAATTCATGCGGATGGGAAACAATGTCGCATGCAACGTCGGTTAACCGGACTCTCGCATGATTTTGGAGACCTGGAACTCTCCTCGGCGCTGCCTTCGGCAAGGTACTTTTGGTCTGGTACCATGAAAAGAGAGAAACTATCGCAACAAATCCGTTTCTCTTTTTCAAGACCCTCGTGTACAACCGGATTTACGACGCTATCGTATTCCTCGCTCGGATATGCTTGCGCTGCTGCACTACACATGAATGTTGTCATTGTTTCTCTGTCGAGATGGATCGCTTGATTGATTGGTCTGATCATTCAAGATCAGAATTTTCAGCGGTCCACCGATGGAGACGCGAGAAGAACCACAACATAATTGTCAATGACAGTCTCCAGAACAGCTGATGATGCTGACGACGATGACGATACAGACATAGTTTAAAATATTGATGACAGACGACGGAGATGGACATATTTGATTGAGAATACATGCATAGTTTAATGTGTACTTTCTTGTAACATAACGAGATGAAACTATGAAAAGATGAGCGGCCGATACTGCCCTCATCGAGAGCAAACCCACAACCTTTTCTCCCATGTAAATACTATTGAATAATTAATTATTCGATGAACCTGATGACGGAATCGTCGATCATGATGAAGATTAAAGTGAAAGAGAGAAAGGAAAAGAGAGAATGCCGATAGAAATGATCACGGGAATGAGAGTTGGAGCCGCAGACAGAGAATACTCATCTCTCATAGCTCTTGCGCTCTTCTAGCGAATTGTTGAAAAGGACGCTCCGCTCTCTATCACCCGAGCGACGTCAGTCGAATGAGTCAAGCGCGAGATCCTCGTCCGCACTCCTCTTATTCAACCCATGCGACGATATGGTTCCGAAAATATTATTCTTCATGTCCATTTCCTCGAGAATCAACCTCGTGATGCTGAGGGTGTAAGCCCCGCATGACATCGAGAGGAGAGCTCTGTCGTTCTAGACACGAGGAATGATTACCAGAATTGAATCAGCATCGAGGCGAAACGACAAAAAAGGTTGCAGATCTGATACGCTCGTCCGACGAAATGATGAACAATCTTGAAACACCGGAACACAGACAAACATCAAAATTTCCAAGAGATTTTCAGGCATTCAATAATCTCTAAGAGAGTGCGACGGACACAAAAATTAGGAACCTTGTATGAGAGATGAGATTTATCTGGACGTACAACCTCGGGATGGGGCGATGGAAGTCATTTGACAATTATTTGGACAGTGGGGAAAAAGATGAAAGATATCGTTCAGAGGTGAGATTACGGGATACACTGAAGATGAACACGATTTCTATATGAATGTTGTAAATAAAGGCGGAAAAACCGTTCCAACCTTATTTCTTTGAGTTTTCTTTAAGTTCATTCCTGTCTTCTGATCATTGTCTTCTTTCGCGTTTTCAAAACCCTCGATCGGTTCCGGGAGCTATCTCCGACCTATATCCAAGTCTCTTCGTTTGCCTTCTCCATCTCACGCATTGAAGCGTACTTTCTGCTTATTTCCGATTGTCAATGCTTTCGATTCCGTTATTTATGAAGTATTAAATTTAACATGGGTCTCCATTGATTCCCACAAAGATGGAAGTTCCTCTCCGCCTCCTTTTCGTCTGTCCAGGAGCTCCGTCTACCCTGAGTCACGCCTGAACTGAGGCTCAAATGTTAGCGTTTGGGTTCTGCCTCCTCTGGTTTTACCACGTTCCGACTGAACTCAATCTCAACCTGTGGGTTGTCTGTCAAGTCCCTCGACGGATTTTCGGAATTACTGCTGCTTCCAAGCTTGTCCAAATTATGGTTGTATTGTGATAACGTAGACGAAGATGATTTTGCTCTGTCTTTTCTCACCTGGAAACTGAATGACCTCATGAAGGTTGTTTTCTGTTCCGATCACTCGTCGTCAATACTACTACTTCTACCTATCCTATGAACGTATCACTTGCTCAAGTCGCCTGTCATCGTGATTCCGGGGAGATTTTCCAGTGCAGAAGGATACCTTGGAAACCGAACATAGGAGATTACTGTAGAGAACCATACCGGTTCACAGCCGGCTTACAAGACAGTTCTCTCGTATATAAATACTATTGTACTTAGGTTGGGTCATCAAACTTCCGTTTCCACCTTGAAACAGCATCGATTCCCACATGATTGAAACGAAGGCGAGCTTACGC